GCCCGGCCTCAGCGGCCAGGCCTCATGGGCCCAGCCGCTCTGTGGCATGTGGGATCCTCCCGGACCGGGGCACGACCCCCTGTCCCCTGCATCGGCAGGCGGACCCCCAACCACTGCGCCACCACGGAAGCCCAGGTTTTCTTTTTTAAGGCTGGCTTTTCAGAGTACGCTGAAGTTGGGCCATGAAATGCAGACCCTCGTTCGTATCTGTCCCACCTCCACTCGCTGTGTGAGCCTCGCGGCCTGGAGGCTTGTGACCTGGATGGAGCACCGCAGGCCTTTCTCCCACCAGCCCCACGAGGTGGAATATTCTGGCTTCTCCCAGACTGTCCCCCGTCCAGTAGGTGCTTCAGGATTTGAGGGGAAAGACCTGGGAACAGTGGTACCTTAGCCCACAAGAGAGCCTGGGCCTCTCTGGTTTTCAGCAATTGACACTTGGTAAATTTCTGCCACTGATACTCATCCCCAAAGCCTCACCCCACCTAGAAGTCCAGCCTAGGTGTGTTTTGAGAAAACCTTGACAACCCCAGCCTTGGGAATTCATAGTTGTCCTTCACAGGCCTGTGGCCGTGGTGCTTGTAGGAGTGGTTTTAATGGCATGTTTCATTTGTGCTTCCCCTTCTAGAAAGAAAGAAAAGGGAATTCTCTTTTATTGAGGGTCAACCGTGGGTCATGTGCACGGTGCAACTCAGCACTCTCACTGAATATACCCCCATTAACCTGCACCGAAGCCCACTCTTTTTTTTTTTTTTTCGGTACGCGGGCCTCTCACTGTCGTGGCCTCTCCCGTTGCGGAGCACGGGCTCCGGACGCGCAGGCTCAGCGGCCATGGCTCACGGGCCCAGGGTCTCCGCGGCATGTGGGATCTTCCCGGGCCGGGGCACGAACCCGTGTCCCCTGCATCGGCAGGCGGACTCTCAACCACTGCACCACCAGGGAAGCCCCAAAGCCCACTCTTTAATGAAGGCCGGGAGAGGCATGGTGAGTTTAAACTGTAAAGTATCAATTGTTGAAGAAATCGCTTGCGTTGGGCTCGGAATGAAGTCGGAAGCACCAGATCCCAGAGACGCCACAGCAGCCTTGTTCCCTCCGGCCTCGCCCCTGGTCCAGACAGCAGGAGGAGGGCGGGGCATCCCACCAGCTAGTCTGCTGGGTCCGTGGTATTCAGCTCTGCCGGCTGCAGTTTCCTGAACTTTCTGCGTGCCTGTGGACGGCGAAGCTTTTGAAAAGTTCAGCTCTTCTAGCTGAGAGAATGATATCACGAGAGAACAAAACGCGTCATCGAAGGGCCGCCTCTCTGCCGCTTTCACGGTCATGTCTGGAGGAGGTTGGGCTGGAAGGAGATTTGGGAAGAAAGTCACCCTCTTGTCGTCCACCCTGGGTTCCCTGTGAGGCCCATGCGCCCTTGGTTCTCCTGGCAGGACTGAGGACATCTGCCTGCTGCTGTCAGCCCTGCACGTACCGCGGCAGCCGGTGGCTGGCCCCTGGGTCCTGGTCGCCACCCCCTTTCTCACCCTGGGCCCCCAGCGCGGCCTCTGGGGACCTGGAGAAAAGCTCGCAGCATGCACGCACGCCCAGATCCAGATGCCGGGAAAGGCCTGTTAAGGCGGAGAGTGGCTGGGTCGGGGTGGGGAGCCTGGGCAAGAGGGGCCGGCAGGCGAGGGCAGCTGGCACAAAACCGCACACAGTTGCCATCCTTTGAGGAAGGGGGAGGGGCAAGGCTGCTCCCCTCGTGCCCCCATTCTTCCTCCTGAGTAGCAGAAGAGCTCCACCTGCAGGCGGTGAGACAGGCTCCCAGCCACCCAAGAGGTGGGGAACCCAGGCAGCTGCGAGGTGATCGGAGAGCAGCAGCCGTGAGCAAACAGACACTCTGACAGAGCAGGACCACAGACGGAAAGGAAAGGAGCAGGTCCCCAGGGCTGAGGCCAGGATGCAAGCCACCCTGAGCTCGGGTTGCGCACCAGCGCGTCCTGCTAGGGGACGTTGGATGGATGATATTGACCTGTGAGCGCAGAGTTTAGGCAGGAGTTGGAGGGTCTTCAGCTCCACCCGTGGCCCCCCAGACCTCACTCCCTCCTCCACAATAAACCCCTCTGTGTGTCCCATGGAGATCATTCCAGGCAGAACTGGGGTGAAGATTGCTTTGCAGGGAGGGTCCCCTAGAGAACCAGAGTCGTGAGCCGGAGGGTCCCTAGTGAGAGGCAGAGGGACACGGGAGGACCAGGCTGGAGAGGGCATGAAGGGACCCCTTCAGCTGGGAGAGGGAGATGCGGACAGGTCGGGCAGGAGATCTCTGAAGACACCAGCAGCCTCATAAACCCTGTTCCTCTGATTTCTTAGAGGAGTGTAATGGTTATTACCAATGCCAAGTACCCACCCTGGGAATTCCTGGATTAGCCAAACTGTAAAGAACCATCTAGGAGTTGGCCAGCCAGCCAAACCTGGCTCACTCGCTGTTTCTGTGAGTGCCGTGTAATTGGAACACAGCCGGGCTCTTTCCTTCTCATACCATCCACGGCGGATTCCAAGTTACAACACAGACTTGGGAAGCTGTGACAAAGGCCTGCAAAGCCTCAAATACACATGATCTGGCCTTTACAGGGGATGCTAGTTGACGCCTGATTTAGGTTAACAAAGAGACTCTTAAAGAATTTTGTGGTACATTGCCCTGAGTTTTAATCCTGAATCTGCCACCTACTAGCAGTGTGAATTTGTGTAAGTCTCTTAAGCCCTCTAAGCTGTAGCCCCTCATCTGTGAATTATTTATAACTAACTCCCAGCGTTAGAAGAGAATCAGGCACACGTGCACATGCAGAGCACTTAGCCCTGAGCTGGGACCTGGAAATCTCTCCATAAATGCTCACTGTGTGTGTGTGTGTGTGTGTGTGTGTGTGTGTGTGTGTGCCATTGGGGGTGGGGGACTTATACCCCGAGTCTTAACACAATTCCTAGTGTCCTCCGCTCTGTGATGTTTCTAAATTGTGGTAAAATACACGTAACAAAATTCCCCATCTGAACCATTTTTAAGTGAATATTTCAGTGCTTTTCAATACATTCACATTGTTGTGTAACCCTCACCAGAACTCTCCTTATTTTGCAAAATAGAAACTCTGTCCCCATTAAACACTGACCATCCCCCAGGACCACCATCCTACTTTCTGTCTCTATGGATACGCCTCCTCTGGGGACCTCGTATAAGTAGAATCATACAGTATCCGTCCTTTGGTGGCTGCCTTATTTCACTTAGCAAAATGTCTTCAGGATTCCACATGGTGGCACATGTCAGAATTTCCTCTCTTTTTAGGGCTGGATAAGATTCCATTTTATCTATTTACCACATTTCGTTTATCCATTTGGCCATCGATGGGCACTTGGTTTGCTTCACACCCTTGGGTGTGAATCACATTGCTATGGAGAGGGATGTACAAATGCTCTTTGAGTCCCTGCTTTCAGTTCTTTGGGGTATATATACCCCAAAGTGGGATTGCTGGATCCTATGGCAATTCTATTTTTAATATTTTGAGGGATCCCACACTGTTTCTGCTGCGGCTGCACTGTCGTACTGGGAGGTCAAGTGCAAGTCATCTGTCTGTCTCAGAGATCAAGAAGGGGCATTTCTGCTGGAGAGGGTCCCTTCTATTCGTCTCTAGTTGGTGCTGCTCTTGTTTGTGTCCAGTCTACGTGAGCGAGGGCAGTTTGGCTTCTTAGAGGACATTTGGCCATGTCTAGGGACATTCTTGATTGGAATGACTGGGGAGGGAGATGCTACGTGCATCTACTAAGTGATGTCCGGAGATGCTACTAAATGTCCCATAAAGCACGGGACAGCTCCTCTCGCACCTCCCTCCCCAACAAAGAATTCTTCATCCCGAGATGTCAATAGCGCAGAGGTTGAGACTCCCGTCTGCACCCAGCCGTCAGCCTGAGCCAAGCACATCAAGGCACCGGGCAGAATCAAGGTAGATCCCGCCTCTGGACCTCACAGTCCCATCCTGAAGATGTCTGGTGCATCTGGGCTCTACCGCAGGGAAGAGAGTGGCTGGTGCTGGGAGAAGGGTCTGAACAGGAGGCTTTGGGAGCCTGGAAAGAGGGAGAGATTAATCTGGCTGTAAAGGTGGATCTCCTGGTTTTCTCTTTAATGAGCATTTCCCTTAGATGCATTTGAAGCTGTGCAACCCTTGGCTTTAACCTGCACGAGGCATGTTGCGGGCTGGTGACCAGGAAGGTAGAGGGTCCGGCTGGGCTGTAGCGGGAGACAGCATTTTCCCCTGGCTCTGGGAGCCTGAGCCCTCAGCATGGCTCCTGCAGGACTGTTTCCTGTTCCATGCTGCAGTTTATGAGACCTCGCCGAGCATCCCTGGGTGGGGGTTGGGGGCTGGTCAGGATCTAGAGTGGGTGGGGTCTAGACCAGTGCTCCGTGGACAGGAGTTCAGGACCGCCTGCTATCACTCGTAGTCACTCGTTTATTGACTCACTTGTTCAACAAGTATCTAAATACCGCCTGGTTGTCAGCATTGGGCTAGACCCTGGGGCCATGACAGTGAACAAAAGTGAACGGGGTCCCTCTGCCCAGAGCTTCCAGGCCACTGAAGGAGCAGACATTCATCCACTAATCGCATCCATCAGTATGTAAAGTACAAAGTGAGGTGAGACTTATGAACGAAAGAAATGTGTTTGGGGGGGGGTCTGGATCGCTGGTCTAAGCCGGGGGCTGCAGAGGCTTCCTGAGGAAGTGATGCAGGAATTCAGAGTTCAGAAGAAGCAGGAATTTAGAGTGAACTGGAAGGCGATGGAGGGAGGCCACGGTTGGAGGGAGTGTGGAATCGTAAAGAGCCACTGGTTGGGCCGTGGACAGAGTGAGAAGGGCGAACCTGCCTTCTCCCTGACTCCCTCCCCCCCCCACCTGCTCTTCCAGGTGGGAGTGGGAGACAGGATCCACCCGTGAAGCGGGATTCTGGAAGGCTGGCACGGGTGGTGCTGGCCGGGCAGACTTTTGGTGGCAGTCGTGGGATAGCAATGAGAGAAAGGAATTAAGGATGCATGGATGCACGGAGAACCCTTAGCTGACAGCGGAAACCCTGAAGGGGAAATTGCTTCTTTATCCCAGCCTGGCCTCCACTGTGACTTTAGGGAAATCTCAGAGCTTCGCGGGTTATCAGCACCGTGGGATGAATCATTGCGTCCCTATCCACCTGGCTTGGCTCCTTTAGTTAAAAATGTAGACAACGCTAGGTACCCAGGGTACAAGAGCAAAATAAGTTGGTTTTACATGGCTCTGCAGGCCCAGAGAAGAAAGATAAATAAGAGGTAATTATGGTTATTAAGACTAAAGGATTTTTCGGGTAGGGCCGATAAAGAGAGGTTGAGGCATCAGGCACGTGCAGTTTGCAGAGAAGGCTGGAGAAGCCCTCGGTACTACTTTGGCAGGACGTGAAGAGGGGGGGATGACTTGGAGAATGTCATACTGCCCTCCCCAGCTTCAGTGACAGCAAGAGGAGGAAGCCGGTTTGAGACAGAGACAAGGAATGGGATTAGAGCATGGGAAGGACTTGGGGTCAGAAATGTTGTTGGATTCAGGGATGGCGCCTGAGGCGGGGTGTGACCGAACTTTTCCTGGGTGATGCCAACAAGAGTAAGGGTGCCCACGTGTGGGTATTTTGGGCAAGAGGCAAGTTGAGGGTCCCCCTGACTCTGCAATTCCTTTCAGCCCCTTTCTGCGTCCAGCGCAGTGTGAGAGACCACATTTTAGAGATCACATTCAGGCAGAGGGTAGGGAGGGGGCAGGATTATCCCAAGGAAAGGGCTGGAATCTTGGGTTTTCACCCTACCTCCAACGTGATGCCTTTAGCTTCAAATGGAGCTAATGAACTTCCTGCTTGCGAACTTGACTCCATCCTCGCCCTGCATTCTCTGCCTTTGGCTTTGAGACAGCTGGTTTATGGATTGTTGACAAGACAGAGATTCTGCTGTTTCCTCGGCAGATGCACTTCTGGAATCCTTGCACACACTCTCACTTACCTTCCTTTTTAAAAACCTCATTCTTATGTAATTCAGTGATTCTAAACGGCTCCCACATCATCCTGTCTCCCCACGTTGTAATGCATCATCGTCTCTCTTAATGCAAGTACCTGCCAAATTAATCGTCATGGCTTATCAGCTAGAAGGGTGCCTGAGGGTCAAACCGAGTGTCTCAAAAGTTACGTTATGGGCTTTCACACCTGCCAGCTCTTTTTGACTGTTCAGATGGGCGTGTACCTTCCTTCCTGTGGCCCCGTGGTCCTTGTCTTCAGCCGTCAGTCACTTCCACAGAGGCAATTTTGTGCAGTCATCCCTCGGGGAGCTGGGAGGATGGGGGAGGGTCAGCTGGGCTGTAATGAACTCCCCTGGGGAGTCTTCATTGGAAGGTTTTGATTATTAGGGTAGAAGAGGGTACTGGCCTCAACGATGTAAATTAACGTTGGCCTGGGGCCACCAGTGCATCAGGCAGAGGCCAGAGGGAAGCATCCACAGCTCAGCCACTTTGCTCCTCAGCCATCAGTGCCTGCCCTTCTCTCCCTGTGTGGTCTGGGGCAGCCCAGGACTCAGGTCCAGTGACCTCACACCCCATCTTGGCCAGCTCCCTTTTACAACACAAATACTCTTTTTTTTTTTTTTTTTTTTTTTTTTGACCTCACACCCCATCTTGGCCAGCTCCCTTTTACAACACAAATACTCTTTTTTTTTTTTTTTTTTTTTTGATGTGGACCTTTTTTAAAGTCTTTATTGAATTTGTTACAATATTGCTTCTCTTTTATGTTTTGGTTTGTTTGGCCGCGAGGCATGTGGGATCTTAGCTCCCCGACCAGGGATCGAACCCACACCCCCTGCATTGGAAGGCAAGGTCTTAACCACTGAGCCGCCAAGGAAGTCCAACACAAATACTCTTATCCATACCTTAAGGCAGTGGCAGTTCATGTCTTTTCAGGAAGAACTTGAGAGCCAGCAGGGAGTAGGAGTGGGGGGCAGGCTGCTATGATGGGTGCGTGTCACCCAGTGGCCTTGTCCAGCTTTCCTTCAGAGCTAAAGGACCACAGTGTGTGTCCACAGAAACTGCAGCCCTGGGACCTGAGTGGCCTCCATCAGGGAAGGCTTCTGAGAGTGTGACCCACACCTGCATGGCAACAGGGGGACAGAGGGAGGGGCTTGGGCAGAGCAGGTGAAACCAGAGTGAAACCTGGCTGTGCCATTCACTCACTGAGTGACCTTGGTGGGTCAGTGGCCTTGGTGGGGACCTTCTGCTCCCCCCTTTCTTTCTCTACCTCCCTCATACTTTTTACTGAATGCTTTCTCTGTGCCGGCTACTGTGCAATATTCTTTACATTCATTATCCCATTGACCTTGACCGCATCGTGTCGTGCAGGTATTATCCTGAACAGGATTCAGCCCCATGCAGTTCTGGTGCTTTACAGCTGTGAACGGTGCCAGCTTTGAAGTCAGACCTGGATTTGACCCTGGCCATGTCACTTACTGGCCTGGACAGGTCATTTAACATCATGCTTCATCTGTGGAAGGGGGAGAGTAGTGCCCGCTTCCAAGAATTGTCATGAGAATTAAATGCAGACGCATACATAATACATTATATATAAATATGGTAATAAATGTGCACATATTTACTTATAAATCATCCCGCAAGTTGTCTGCCGCACGAGTAGGCAACCAAGAGACGGTGGGTGTCCTAACATTCAGAGGAGGAGAAAGGTGGTGAAGCTTCAGAATCTGGCTTCTGGCTTTCGCCAGCGGGGCAGAAGGCGCTGCCCCCCTCGGCAGCCGTCCGTGACGAGCAGTGTTAACCAGCGCGGTCTGGATTGTTTTCAGAGGCTGCACGAGGAGCTGCCCCTCAGCCTGGAGGACCTGGAGGATGTGTTTGATGCCCTGGATGCTGACGGCAATGGCTTTCTGACCCCAGCGGAGTTCACCACTGGATTTAGTAAGTTCTGGTGGACGCTGGGGCCCCAGGGTATGGGTTGGCCTAAAGCCATATAAGGGGCATCCCTGCCCCACCAGCTCTGAGGGTCCATGACACACAAGCTTTCCTGCCTCCTGAAGTTTCCAGGCTGTGGGTCATTCGGTCTCTTTTCATGTGTCCACCTCCGCTGCTCACACCACTGCCCCCTCAGTGCCCACCACGCTGTCACTGCCAGGTCCTCTCCTACTGGAAAGTGGCAAGGAACGAGCAGAGAAGCTCTGGCAGGAAGGTCAGTTTAAGAGAGGGGACTGAGATGGGATTTCCGGCCTGTCCGTTTCTGCCGAGATACCAGTGGACAACAGAGTGGGAGGCTTGTACGGCTCGTTTCAACCTGAGTGTGGCTGAGTCCTCCAGGTTGAGGGGCAACAGCTTTCAGAGGAATCTGTAAAGGGTTTGAATAGACCAGTCGTTCTCAAGGTGACCAGCAGGAAAAACAACTGAGATGCATGAACAAGATAAAAAAAAAGAAAATCAGACACACCATCAGATCCAATACTGATCAGATATTGATTAGAACAGATATGGGTCAGATAAGTCACCATACATCTGCCTCCTTCAAGGTGCCAGGTATTTGCTTGGAAGGATCTGATGCCTTTCCTGACCTTCAGGAATTTATAATTGACTTGTAAATGTGAAGCCCAGTGATGCTGGTGGCCAGGATGACTAGGTGATAACACAGAGCAGAGGCAGGCAGGCTGCTCGAGTGCGATGGGGGAAAGGTCTTCTTTAGAGAAGAAATCAATGAAGAGATGATTCTAAGCCAGCCTCTCAAAGATTAAGAACCACAAAGGTGCTGTAGTACCCGCCATGCGCTCTGCCCTTCCCAGATTCTAGCATCTCTGGCAGAATCTCATCCAAGTAGGAAAGACATAAAATCCAGAGCATGGCATCCAAGGATCTTTGCTACAGGGAGTCTGGCCTCCCCTTTTCTCCTCGCAGCTGAACCTCAGTCGATTCCTGGCAGCTGCGGAAGCAAAGGTCTTCCTGGGTGAGTGTTGTCTAATCCAGATCTTGTGCCCGTGCGTCCCCCAGGTCACTTCTGCAGCCAGAATAAGCCGAGTGAGGAAAATACTGCTGAGCACCTGGCCCAGCTCCAGGAAGAGAAGGTGTATCAGACCGCAGGGTATGAGGATCTGGGTGACATGGACGAAGATGAGGAAGGCCAGTTCCAGATGCTGATGGACAGGCTTGGAGCCCAAAAGGTTTGGGAAGAGTAAGTGGCGACTGTGGTCTGGGGGATGGAGCCCAGCCTAGGGGCAACCTCCGCATCTGTTCTGTCCAACCTTAACGCCTACTAAGCCCTCAGCCAAGCCCTGGGTCCCTGCTTCCGGCTAGGCCACTGGCCCCGTGCAGCCTGCCCTTGGCCATGACCTGTCTGCGTCAGGGGTCTAGGGCTCTGCCTCTGCTTTTTACATTATTTTCACGGGAAACACTCCTATCCCCTGATCTCCCACACTCCTTCCTCACCCCCCTGCCGTCCACAATCAGTACAGTCCTTGGCTTGGCCCTGCTCCCGGAGGGCTGCCCGCCCATCAGAGGGCTGTCTGCCCATCAGAGGGCTGTGCAAGGGTTGAAACCCTTGAGGGTTTCGGTGCGTCCCGCCTGAGGCTTCCTGTCACCATCAGCTCACCAGCATCTCTACCTCCGCTGGGTCTCTGGGGCCGCAGTGCGTCCCACGTGCTGTGCTCCTGCCAAAGCCACCTTACACGGAAGCGTCTGCGCATCAGATCCCTGAGCCGAACCAACCCTGTCCTGGAAGCCGAGGTGGGAGGCGAACCTGTTTTTACCAGCTCATCACTTGAGTGATCAGTAAGTCAGCTGAAAATTTTAGGTGGCTGCAACTTCAAACCAAACGTAACACCCCCATTTTTTTTTCTTTTTTGCAAAAAGTGTTTTGTAAGAAAGAGACGCATAGATGTAAACCCAGACCTTTGCCATTAAATGAAATGAAGTCAAGTGATGTTGTAGCTAGTTGAAACCAGAGAGTCGCCCGAAAAACATGGAATAACTTCTGCCCCTTGCCGTTTTGTGCTGGGGTCTCCGGGTCTTGGGTTGGGTGTGTGTTTCATGAGTGAGGGGGGAATGGCCTGTTGGTTGGAGCTGATGTGTCTGGAGCTTGGAAAGAAGACTGTGGAGAATGATAAAGGGGAAGCAAGAGAGAGGGGCCTTCACACAGCACGCAGGCCAAGAAAGTACGTGTAGCTCCCAGTGTCTTTTAGGTTGTGGCAGAGTTGAGACAGGCTGGCAGAAGCCTGGGCAAGCCAGAGGGGACACTAGCTCCACTTCTCCAAGGACAAGAGACCAGAGCCCAGTGACCATGCCCACGACCCCGTGAAGGCTCGTCCTGGAGGAGGGGACAGGAGAGGGCAGTGTGGGCGAGCCAAGGGGCTGTCATGAAAGAGAGGCATCTCTCTGCCCACCCATCACTTCTGGACCGCCACCCTCCTGCAGGGCTCTCAAATCAGAGCTCACCAGAGGTTTCTCTGAGGACGTCAGACAAAGGCCCATGCAGGGCCGAGCCAACACGAGAGCTCCTGGAGAACAGAAGGCTCTGGGGAGGGTTCCAAGAGTGGTCGATAAAAACCCACACACAGAAGATGGTGTCCAGCCACTGTCATCCTCCTTGAAGTTAAACAAGAAGGAAGTGGGCTTTTGCTGCAGCGTGAGAGAAAACGGTCCAGACTGTAGGACCCCAGATGAGGAAACAGAGGAGGCTGGAAAACTTCAGAGGTCTTTAAAGATCTCACCGACCAAGATGGTTTGTGTACTGTTCTGGAAGCAGGGAGATGGATGGACTGACCACCCAGAACCCTTTCTCACCCTGCACCCCTGTATCCTTCCAAGAGAGTTGCCTTGGCTTTGTCCAGAAGTGGTAGACAGAGCACCTGGGCTCCCGGCTTTTCTCGGTGCTTCGACTGGCTGAGTGATTTGGCAGCTAGTCGGCCTTGGCTTATTTTTCATCCAGCGTTGAGAGACTTATCCCTTCTCCAGAAGTCTGGCGGGAGGTGATGTGGCCACGACTAGGAGGTTCAGGTGGCTTTGGAAGAGC